CTGCTGAACTTCCTTTCCTCCTTAGTTTCACCTCCTTGCTTGTTAATTCTGTTAAATTAATTATTCTTTTTAATTTTATTTTTGTAGCGTGGAAGAGGTGTCCGCTGTCTGTCAGCTCCGCTGAGGTTAGGCACTAAGTTCGTTGCAACTGTTCCTGCTCTTCACCTCTCCCGGGCTCTAGCAGAGAGAATTTAGGAGCTCTTCCTTACCGATAAATTTTAGCGGTTCATCATCAAATGCAGGGAGATGATCACAAACAGTTTGGTTTTGTAGCAGAGAGACGTCTACACTTGCATTCACAGTTATCTTCCAGTGCTTGGCACTGAGGCCAAGCAGTACTTACTGGAGAGCCTCTTTCTCCAGCTCTTGTGAGCTTTTCTTGAATATTGTTCATGGCTGTGTGCAGGAGTATCAGTCAGAAAGTAGTTATTTTGGCACATTTTTAAAGTAGGAACTTTAGTATATTTTAAGCAGCTAGAGAGCTAGCGGTGCGCGTGTGGGATTCCTAATCACCGAGAGCAGCAGTATTTTGAACCAGGACTGTTCTTTGGTTACAGATGGATGGCATACGGTAGAGTGGGTCTGACCCTGTAGTCTGAGTCTTCAACCCACAGCCCCTATAGCACGATGCCTCCTGTGCTGCTGAGGGAATGAGGCCTCCTGGCTAGGAGGGAGCTTCGAGAGAGCTCGGGGTCAGGAGCAGGCTGATAAACAGATAAAACATCACGTCTGCAAGCAGATAAAACCCCATCCAACAACAGTGTGGGGATGCTGTCGCTGACCTAAACGCACCTCATCCAGACTCTGGGCAACATGTGGTTGGTGTGACCCACAGAGCCAGCCAGAAACGTTTGTAGCAGCCCATGGGCTGCTAAGGAAGCTCTGCACTGATTTTTCAAGCTCCAGACATTGAAGTTGCAATGAGGAGTTGCTCGGAGACTGACAGAAAAGCCCACCAGGCATTAGCTACAGCAGCCCCAGTAGTTTGTGTTCAAGGGGGCCACGCATCCATCTTTTCCTTGGATCACCTGCTGCTTAGGCAAGGCTTGTCCAGACCTGCAGCACACTGGAATTAAAGGCCCCTGTTAAATGGTTCCTTCCAGGGTATGTTTATCTGCATGTGTCGTCCCGGATTTTTCTCTGCTGTCAGATTGCCATCCCTGTAGCTCCTCTGAGCACTGCCTCGTCCTGACTGGATTGACCTTCTGTCTCTCTTGTGGCATCGCCAGCAATCCTGGCTCTTTACCTCAGCCGTGTGAGTAACGTGACCATCATACACTCACGTCGATAAAAACTTTACTCCTGTTGTAAGGGCACATTTAATTACCTGGCACCAACATGCCCATGCATGTGCTGTGCCTGTGCCAGGTGCACACACTGAAATATGCATTTTTTAGCTGTTGCAAGCTCTGTGTCAAACTCTTCACTAAATACAGTGCACCATGTTCCTTCCGTTTTTGTCAATGAGGTTAATTCCCAGGGCCCTGGATGAGCTATATTTCTTTGGAAAATTCCATATGTTTCCAGGAACCATAAGCAATACGCTTTATATTTCATCCTGTCCTATTTTTTGTCTTTTTTCCCCCCCTTCATCTGTAGGGAGTGATTACCACTGCTTTTCCTGCTGGATGAGACTGCTGGAGCAATTTACTAGCATATCAAAGTTTGCTTTCATTTGGCACCCAAAAGCGAATGATTTTTTGCTGTTGTTGAAAGAAAATGTAAGAAAATGCCAAAGTGTGTTCATGGAGAATACATGGTGGCAGAATCCCGGCGCTAGAGGTGATGTGCTACACAACTGGTTTAGTAATTCCCTCCTGTAAGGAGTGGATGAGCCGCCGCCGCTGAGGTCACCCTGCGCACGTTTGTTGAGCAGGGCAAACAGAGGAGCTTGGAGAAGGGAGCAGAGCTGCAGTTTGAGAGCCACGTGATGCAGGGACCTGTCATCTCCCCATGACCTTGTGATTCAGCATCTTGCTGGACATGAAATCATTTTGTACTTCTGCAAGACCACAGTTGTCTGCGTAACATTGGTTAGAGCCAGTATCACAGGATCTAGGAAACCCGCAGGCACCAGGAACACTCAAAAATGAACCTGCTAAATGTGAGTGTGGATTTTCCTCCCTTCTCTCCTACCTTTCCGAATGATTTAGAGTAAAGAACACAGCAACGTTATGTCCTCTCCCACTGAAATTCTTCCCTGAGATGTTTCCGTGTGTGTGGTGTCACAAGTCCTCCTGGAATGGCTGTGGCTTTGGTGGCAGGGGGGGGCCCCCCCCCCCCCCCCCCCCCTCTACCCCCGCTCTTGGCTGTGTGATTATGTCAGGGTGCTGTTTATTCGAGTGAATGTGTGTAGCGATTTGGCAACTTTTAAATACTCCTCTTGCCTTAAAGACGGAATAAGTGGATGTGCTGCGTCATGTCGTGTGCCTCAGCACGTCTTCGCTCGCTCTTTGCTGGGTGGGTTGCGCACCCTGCTCAGTCGTGTGTTCTGGCAGAAGCTGCCTGCGTGCAGGCCCCAGCAGAGCCCAGGAGAGGCCTCGGGTCATGGGCCAGAGCCTGAAAACGTGTTTGCAGTTGTTCCATGGTAAACCACCATGTCAGGGCTTTAAAAGGTGAGGTCTGAGGCAGAGCAGCCCCAGCTGCTGCCCTTTCTCCAGAGATGCTGCGTTTTAGGTGAAGTGAATTCTGTAGGTGAATTGAATTCTTAACATCTGCCCTATGAGGAGAGGCTGAGGGAGCTGGGCCTGTTCAGCCTGGAGAAGAGAAGGCTGAGAGGGGACCTGAGCAGTGTCTATAAGTACCTCAAGGGAGGCAGTGAGGAGGATGGTGCTGGCCTCTTTTCACTGGTGGCCACCGACAGGACTAGAGAAAACGGCCACAAACTGAAGCACCAAAAGTTCCACAGGAACTTAAGGAAAAAATTCTTGCCAGTGAGGGTGCCAGAGCACTGGAACAGGCTGCCCAGAGAGGCTGTGGAGTCTCCTTCTCTGGAGATCTTCAAAACCCGCTTGGATGCAGTTCTGTACCACGTGCTCTAGGTGACCCTGCGTGTGCAGGGGGGTTGGACTAGATGATCTCTAGAGGTCCCTTCCAACCTTGAGCATTCTATGATTCTATGGTGGTGGAGGGGCCATTCATGCCCTGTGCCTGCTTCATGGCAGGGTGGTGGCATCAGTCTCCTTTGGCTCACGATAGAGAAAAGCGCCTCTTCAAACTGCTTAGGTGGTGCATTTCCCTCCTGAGCAAGGCAAATGGACTGTTCTAGATTAAAGAACCTTGTATACAAATATTTTGTGTTTCATGCTGCTTAATTGATGTGTGTACCCCTTGCCCATCCCCCCCTCCACTAAGCATAAATCTATTTGGGTCCTGATAGCACTTCTGCAGCACTCACAAGCTAATGAGCTGCTAATTACCAGCCCTGCCCAGGCTAATTAGTTCCATGAAAAGCGTGTCAATCTAGGCAGAGGCTGAGTTAATGCAGCGTTGCTGTTCTGAGGACTTGGGCTAGCGTGGTCAAAAGTGGGACGTGGACTTTGGGCTGTGCTGCGTGTCTGGGCTGTAGGCACTGTGATTTCTTCGAGCAGTGGTAAGACCAGCTAGCAAACGACCAGTCCCCAGGGCTCAAGAATTTGCACATATTGACTGTTTTATCTTTCTGATGCCACTTCTGCACCTCTTGCAGCATGGCAGAGCTGTGGGTGAAGCTTCAGGTCAGAAAGCAGCTGGCAGTGAGCACAAGGAGCACAAGCCCCTTCCTTAGCCCTCACGCAGGGAGCCCACGTGGGTTCCCTCATTCCAGCCTGAAAGCCTTTCTCTTTTCCTCCTTCCTCTGCCTGTTTGGCAAATATCACAGCCCCACGGATGCAGACAGGTAGGAAAGTAGCTGCTGCCAAAGCTCACGTCAGTCCCCTAAACGTGGGAATGCAAACAAGCCATGAGAAAAAGTTCTCCTAAACTCTTCAAGGCTGGTTGGCTTGTTTTGTTGACCCTTATTTTTATTTATTTTTTCTTACTGCCTCTTGGGAACATGTGCTATGTGTTCCCTCAGTGGCTGCATTTGCAATGTTGATCAATCCCACGTTCAGGGCAGTTCTCCAAAGCTTATTTTGGTTAATCAATGTTATCCCTGTGGATCTTCTTTATCCAGTGCCTCATGCTCCTCCCTGCAGCCTCCAGTTCAAGAAGTGACACGCTACACATTTTACACACAACACAGACCAAAAGTAGTTACTTTATATCCTAATGTTGTTGCAAAATGAGGGAGAAAGAAGGAACTGGGACTATGGGAAGAGTTATGGGATTAAATAGCCCTCGGTGGGAAAAGGCTCCCGTTAAAATGATGTTTTGCTCTGCTTTACAGGCACTCTCCATCTCTGTAAGTTTATTCCACCGAGAATCGGAGCTGCACTCGACTCTAACCAACTGAATCAGTCCAGGTTGTGTTGTGTCTGAAGACAAGGGTGGCTTTGGTTCCTTTTCTACCACGAAAGGTTTGGACTGGTGAATGCATTTGTCCCATCTCCAAGTAAATGGAGTGGCCAGGGCAGATGTGAAGTGGCTCTTAACCTGGATGTTCGTGCAGGATCCGCTCGGTGCCGCTGGCAGCACAGAACATGGAGGCTCTCGAGGTTGATGACATTAGCCCTGCCCTGGAAGTGACTGAAGACTTTTTCAACAGTTTTGATGTGAAGCTTGATAAGATCGTGCAGCCTTCAGAGGTGTATGGGGTGCAGGAGGTCCCCGAGATGGTTGGGCACGAGGTATTCGATCAGATAACGGAGAGCAGGAACCTGATGAACATCGCCTCCTTGGCCAAAACTGGCCTCCTCTGGGATGGCTGCAAGAACGGGCTCCTGGAAAGCAAAGCACAGGCAGCGTTCCCCACCAGGGAGCAGCTTGTGGCGCGGCAGGGAAGAGCTGCCGACACCGTCGCGTGGGTGGCGGACGGGGAGACCTCAGCCTTTAACATCTTGAGCCTGTGCCAGCGGCGGCGAGACCGGCCCCGCTCGGTGAACGACATCCTCGCGCAGAGCGAGGAAGCGGCCGCGTTCAAGCCGGGCCACAGCAGGTCCCGCTCCGACGTCAGCCGCGTGGACTGGGGGGTGCTGCTCACGGGCACCGCGCAGCAGCCGCCGGCGCCCGCTCCGCACGACAACTGCGCCCTGCTCTCCTACCTGGCGCTGGCCGAGGGCAGGGACCTCCAGGGAAACACAGGTGCGACCCGAGGCTGCTTTCCTGCCTCTGCTGGCTTCTCTCCTGCTTGTTAATATTTATCCTGAAAGAGGAGCTGTTTGTTCAAAAGAGCCCAGTGTGAGCAGGCTCCTCAGGGGATGGAAATCAGCACAACTCTGTTATCTTCCATATAGCTTTTTTTTTTTTTTTTTTTTCATTTGTGTGGCTAAGGATCTGTTTTTAAAACCATCCCAACTTCTGTTCTTTCACAGTTTGAGAAGCTATATCTGCTTTACTTTTTGCTCCTGCTTTGTTCAGTTTGACTCAGGTAAAAAGCACTGGCGTTTGTGGTGTATTTCTGATCATTTCCTTATCTGCTTATCCTAAACTAAAAGATCTTTGAATGGTAAAGCTATTTGAAGAATGGTAAATCCTAACAAAGGTAGTTTTTATTATATATATATATATAATTGAAGAGAGCTATTAAATAGGGAGTATACAAAGCTTTCCTGTAAGCTCTGCTTTCTTTCTTTAAGATATGCTGGCTATTCAATTCATAAACAATTAGCAAAAACTCAAGCATCCCATTTGTGCCTTTCAATGCTAATGCATCTCTGCCAGCTTTGTATGGGATAGAGGAAGTCTTGTTATCAGATGGATGCAGCCATCTCCAGCAAGACATGTGAGACAGTTGTTTCAGCAAACGATCCTTTTTCCTTTTCCTTTCCCAAGCAGCCTCTCTTGAAGAGATTCTGCTCACGCCTTTGGAAAAGCTGAACTGGTGTCTCCCTCTCTGTGATTGGTTTGGTAGATGCCAGAAGAGAACTGTGCACTTAAGAGAAAGAAAAACAGTTTGTGCCACAAAAATTTTATAGTCTAAATAATGGCATGGCTTAATAAAGAAGCTCCAAAAAAGCCCAGAGGTTGGGGAAGCCTGTACGTGTGGTCGGATGGCACCGGTTATAAACAACTGGGCTGTTCAGGGTTAAAAACCTAGGATGGGACACATCCGTGTGCCCACGTTGGAGCTAGGAAAATCTCGTGTCGCGCAGGTCCGTACTGCCCTGACTGTGTTTGAAGCTTAAGCTTTTTGACCCAGTTTCCCCATTCTGCCCTCAGGAAAAAAAAAAATGGGGGCGGGGAGTGGAGGAAGCGGGGGTAATTATTTGTAGTATGAAATGTCTGGAGCGAAAAACTAAGCTTCTGGTCTGAGTCATGCTGTATTTACAGGCTCGGTCGTGCACTGGGCCAGCGAGTGTGATTTCAAGCCAGGACTTAGTGGCTGCTGCAGTGGCCAGAGGGCTCCTGGTGGCCTCGTCCTGTTGGGGGATTGATTCCAAGGCTCTAGCAGCGATTAAACGAATGGCTGTGAGGTATCGAGAACAGCTTGGACCCCTTTGCAATCCTCGTCCTGGTGAAGAACTTCCCCTCGCAGCCTGCAGAGGTCTCGTAGAGCTCTGAGCTTGTTGCAAGCACTGGTTTTTCACAGTTTTCTTCCTTATCTTTCTAGGGTGTTTATTACTATGAGTTTATCTGGTCCTGCTACTCACCTTTTCGTAACACAACTGAAGTGGAACTGGATCCTTTCCATGCACTGTGAGGGGAATGATTTGGGAAGAAGGTTTGCCTTTTGGGGCAGTGTCCCAGCTAGTCCCCTCAAAAAGAGCACTTGGTGCTAGTGAGCAGCGTCAAGCCCTAAATGGAGCTGGCAAAGAAGGAATTTGTAAGGAAATTTGAGGCAGAATTTATATTTCCAGCCATGGGGCTGCAGGCAGAGAACGCACAATATGTGAGCAGTTGGGTGTCTTCATGGAATGTGGATGTTTTCATGGAAACGCGGCGCTCCTGCGCGTGCGGGTGCTGCAGCCCTTCTCCCAGGGGCTCCTCCTGCGCCCGCGGTGCCTGCGAGCCCCGCGGAGCCGCAGGGCTCTCCCTGTGCTGCGCACCCCAGGGTCCAAAACCTGCCCCTGCTGCAGAGGATGAAGCGCCCCGCGGCCCTCCAGCAGCAGCGATGCTCATGCTCAGCCAGCCCTGTTGATCTGGGCTGTGTCCAGGTAGGGCAGTTTGCAGCACTGTGACACTGTGAGCCACGCGAGGAGGTCCCTGAGGTCTGAGGATTCTCCGTTCAGCACTGCTTGCTTCTATCCCAGGGATCCTACGGACTTCAGGGATCATTTATCTGCTGCAGCATGTTTATCTGCTGCTTGCCATGCTGCTGTCATGGGTGTTGTGCTCTGCAGAAAAGATGACTCTGAGGGGATCATAGCTATGAGTTGATGAATTTATTGCTTGTAAAAGGAGCAGGTGACAGCTGTGCTGCTAGGGTCATTCACACCAACGGCTACAGCAAAGCGGCCGCGAGCCCTGCAGGTTTCCACGAGCTGTTCCAGGGCAGCCCGCGAGCTGGGACGAGCAGGGCCAGGAGAGCACAACTGCAGCTCTGCAGCCCCGTCACTCCAGACCTTTGTGCCTGGGATGTGCACAAGGCAGGAGCAGACTCCGCGCTATTGGCATGCCGTGCCAGGGAAAATGGGGACCTTCCAAGATCTGAGGAGGCAGGATTGTTACTTAGGAGCCTGTGTGAGCTGGGGCTGCTGCAGTGCCCCTAGCAAGGAGCTGATAGCGGAAAGCAGCCGGGTGAGCAGGGCAGCCGCCGGGCAGATAAACTCGGGGTCAAGATAAGGGTTTGGGGAGCAGCGCTGCGAGGCCGAACGCGTCAGGAGGGCACTTCTCAGTGGGGAATTTGCTCTGGAGTTCCGGCCCGCCGCGAGCCGAATCCCAGTTCCCATCTCCCGCGGCAGCACCGGATGCTTCGGGTGATGCTGTGGTGACTCTCATAACCCAATGTGCAGGGTGGTTCCTCTTGCACTGTGTGAGAGTTTTCCCTCAGTGATGTCAGCTGACTCTCCTAACGTGAACTGGCCGTGTTTTTGTAGCTTTCTGCCTTCTCTTTGAAGTGGAATGAGTGAATTTATACAAAAATCAGCTGAACTACCATTGCTTTCATAAGCACATTCAAGTCTATCCTGCTTTTTTTTGAGATTTTTCTTCTTCCCATTTGCAGAAGGAGCACGAGAGCCTATATCCAGTGCTTCTAGGAGAGAAGTGCAGTTGTTCTGTAGATATTTGCATTTACCATGGCTATTATATGAACTGGGGAGGGGAAAAAAAAAGCTAACCCAACATTGCAGCAATGGACAAATCTAATATTAAGACATTGGCAAGTTTGACATTTCAAATCAGATTTTGCCTCTCCTGAACTTAAGGAGCATGAAAATAGAGTGAATGCCATTAAGCTGGAGGAAGGGGTTTTTTTGTTGTTGTTGTTATAGTAGTTGTTACAAATTAATGCAAAGTACTTCCTAGTTAAAAGGTTTTGTTACTGTGACGCTCCCTTGAGAAGAGGTGGCACAGGGAGAACAAGCCAGACTTGGCTTTGGGAGAGCCAGCTGCAGGGAATTTCTTGCTAAATATCAATTCCATTGCTTGGGGAAAGGAGAGACACCCAATCCACCAGCCTGAAAAAGGTACAGCTGCGGAGCCAGGTGGGAAAACAGGGGCAGACAAAAGGCTGCTTTTCAGGAGGGAGGAAACGGGCACCGCGGATGTCAGCCGCACCAGCCGAGGGGCAGTTTGTCCCTGAAGCAGCGCTGGAGAGCTGCAGGCCGAGTCTTCAGCGTGGGCTGGAAGTGTGGGTGTGCGTTGGGAGGTTTTCTTGCACGAGGCCATTCCGCGGGGTGGACAGAGCGCAGCCGAGCAGCCCGGTAGGCGCTGCCTTGCCCTGGCGCTCCTGCCGTGCGCGGGGCTGCTGTGAGGGCTGCCCGTGCGCACGGGGGGAACTGCAGGGAAAGGCA